TAAGATGTTGTATCAATATCAAGCCAAGCATGATAAACAGAGCTCTCCTGTTGCGTCGTTCTAGTATTGCTCGCAGCTTGTCTAAAAAGGTATATTTAGTTAAATCCATGTATGGCTCAGATGTGTCCGTTGATGCTCGTGAATCCACTCTGGATCGTGAGCTTAAATCGCTTCTCGTTTCTGGGAGTATTTGGCTGGTGGATGGTCCGTGTACTTCGCTTGTGGATGCTTGGTGTATTTCGCTTGTGGATGGTCGGTGTAAGTCGCTTGGGGATTGTGAGTGTAATCCGGGCGCGACGCGCGAGTATTCTACGCGTAATTCGCCCGTGGTTAGTGTGCGTACTTCGCATTTGAATTTTGAATCTACTGAGGATATGGATTGTGAGTGTGAGTCGCTACTGGATGGTAAGTTTAAATCGGACGTGGCTTCTGTGCCTACTACTTCCCGTGTGGGGTCTGAGTGTGTTTCACATATAGATCGTGAGGGTGAATTGCTTTTGTACGATGGGGGTAAATCGCTTCCTGATGGTGGTGGTAAACAACTACTGTACGATGGGGGTAAATCGCTACTCGATGCTGCGGGCAAAATGCTACTGTACGGTGGGGGTAAGTCGCTACATGATGCTGAGGGCAAAGCGCTACTGTACGTTGCGGGTAAATCACTTCTGGATTGTGAGTGTAAATCGCTTGTGGATTGTTGGTGTAATCCGTATCTGGCTTCTGCGCGTAGAGCGCGTAGTTCGACTTTCACTTGGTCCGGATCTTCGATGCCTTTGTAATATGCTATCGACTTGCATGCTTGCTCCTTTTTACCTTTTGCCACCAAGAAATACGGAGTTTCGCGTAAGCATATGAGCAGCAAGGTGGATATAGCGGATATTCCTGCAAGAAGCAGCAGGTGTGACGTGTACGTCAGCGAGGGTCCTAGAGCGTATGTTAGTAGTGACCCGGGATATACGTTCGCTGCGATTAGAGTACTCAGGCGTCCTCTGAGTTTGACGTCGGCGACTTCTGACACGAACATGGGATTTATCGTGCGGGCAATACCAACGCCTATACCGAGAGTCACCCCAGCAAGGTATAGCTTTGGCACGGATGTTGAGGTGTGCATGTCGAGCCAGCCTATGGTGAACATTGTGCTGCATACAAGGAGACAGTATTTACGACCGATGCGATCGACCAACTGGACAGCCAGAAGTGAACCGATCATTGAACCAAGTACTGTCAAAGAAACGACCCATGAATATTCGTCGGGTGTTAACGTTAGCTGCGCGTTCCCGATGCCAGATGTTAAAAGGAGAAATGAAGTCTCTGCCCATCCGTAGACTGTACCGACCAAGCACATGGTCATCGTTCCTGGAATGAGAAGCAGATAATGCTATATATAGCATGTGTTAATTGTAGTGCGGTCGTTTTATAATTACACTGCGAATATTTGCACAAATTTGTATTTTTAATATATACTACTAATTGTTAGGTAGATGATACATTTACACTGAACATGTAAATGTGTGTGTAAGCGTCAGAGGACGTCCAGGTCTCAGGTGAGACAAAAGACGATTGGTAGCTGTTAGTTGAATCTCTAATAGTCTATTGACATCAAGCGTGCGTGTAAGAAGGTAATCGAGGTCTTCAGAGTGTAATAGATATGTATAGCTGTTGTGTATGAATAAAGTAAATTATTTATTTTACCGAAACCTC